TCTCTCTGTCTCTGTCTATCTCTCTTATTTATTTATTTATTTATTTATTTATTTATTTATGTCTCTGTCTCTGTCTCTCTCTCTCTCTCTCATTTATTTATTTATTTATGTCTCTGTCTCTCTCTTATTTGGTTTTTTATATTTACCTTCTTTATCTCTGTCTCTCTCTCTGTCTGTCTGTCTCTCTCTATTTATTTATTAATATTTGTTTATCTTTCTTCTCTTTCTGTCTCTTTATTAATTAATGTTTGTTTGTCTATCTCCTAATGATTTTTTATGATAATAATAATATTAAAAAAAATAATAATAAATTATATAATTATTATAATTGATGGTTAAAAAGAGTAAATAAATAAAAAAATATATTATTGTTTGTTTTGCTGTTCAGGTGTATCTGCGCTGATGTGTTTGAGTGAGGTGTCAACGCCTTTATTACATTTGCGTTGGTTTTATATTCAGACGAAAGCAGTTAAAACATATTTATTTAATTATATTAATATAAGTGCTGCAGCAATATTTATATTTTATAGAGTTATTCTTATCCCTCTACTTGTACTACCTCATTTAGCGTTAGAGTGGTTTAGAGGCTGCCTATACACCTCAACAGCCCCGCTCTCTCGTCGTCTCTCTTTCTCTTTATCTTGTTGTCTTTGGGTAATTTTAAACTTCTATTGGATGGGTTTATTCATACGCTCTTTATTAAAACAAAGAGAGCCTCAACATAAGAAAATACATACTCAATAAACCCTAAACCCTCAGCGGTTTACGAGCTATGGTTTAGGGTTTAGGGTTTTGCTGATGTACACCTTATGGCGTAGGGATTACACTTTACGGGAGGGGGTTTAGGGTTTAGGGTTTAGGGTTTAGGGTTTAGGGTTTGCTGCAGCTCTTGCAGCGAGACACCACAAACCCTAAACCCTAAACCGCCGTTTGCATGCGGCTTGTTTATTCAATTGAGGTGTACGTACACCTCAATGCTATTATAACCTCAAAGGAAGTTTCATACTTTCTTGTTTTCTTTATCCTTCTTTGCATGCGCCTACTCTGCTGTCGTCTGTGGGGTTTAGGGTTTAGGGTTTAGGGTTTAGGGTTTGTCTAGCCCCGCTAGCTTTTTTTATTAGCAGTGAGCACCAGGAGATATGTAGATAGCAATTGCTGCAGCAGCAGCTGTATTTGCTGTTGTGCCTTCATTGTAGGGTTTAGGGTTTACTGTTACAGGGTTTAGGGTTTAGGGTTTGAGGCTGTTGCTGCCAGTTAGCTAGTTAGCTAGCAGCTAGCTAGCCAGCAGCAACAGCCTCAAACCCGCAGCAACCGCTAGCTAGCTAGCTAGCAGCAACAACTAGCTTGCTAGTCAGAAGCAACAACCAGCTAGCTAGCAGCAACAGCTAGCTAGGTAGCAGTAACAGCTAGCTAGCAGTAACAACTAGATACCTAGCAGCAACAGCTAGCTACCTAGCAGCAGCAGTTAGCTAGCTGCAACAGCTAGCTGCGACAGCTAGCTAGCTAGCTTTGTCTTGGTTGCGTATGATTATTTTTGTTAGTCCCTGGAGATGCTGGCGCACTCGCGAAGGGTTTAAACCCTCGTTGAGCGCTGAGAAAACCCTAAACCCTAAACCCTAAACCCTTCTAAACCCTCGTAGGGGTTTTCGTTCTTGTGCGAGAAGGCAGGGAAGAGGGGTTTAGAGCAGGGAGACCAGGGTGTAAAGCCCTAAAGAAGAAAGGGTTTAGGGTTTAGGGTTTAGGGCTTCGATCTTGAGGTCTATGGTTTAGTTATTAGTGTTTATGGTCTGGGGTTTAGGGTTTAGAATTGAGGCTTTAGGAACTAGGGTTTAGGGTTTAGTGTTTAGGGTTTAGGGTTTTGGATTAGGGTTTTAGGGTTTAAGGTCTAGTGTTTTCACACTTACGGTTTATTGTTTAGGGTTTTTAGGGTTTAGGGTTTAGGGTTTAAGCTTTAGGGTTTTAGGGCTTAGGGTTTAGTGTTTAGGGTTTATACATTTTAGGGTTTAGGGTTTAGGGTTTAGGGTTTAGGGTTTAGAAGGAGTTTGGCGCTGGTGATCGGTAGGGCCCCCACGGGTCTCAGGGGTTTGCATAGGCGGCGTTATCTGCATAATAATAATAATAAAAATAATAATAAATATAAAATTATTAATTTAATTAATTTAATTATATTTATTTTTATTTTGTTTCTTCTTTTTATACGCCCTAGAGGTTTGGTTGGGGGGTTGAACAAACACTGAGACACCACCAGAAGGTCGGCAGCAGCAGCAGCAGCAGCAACAGCAGCAACAGCAGCAACAGCAGCAGCAGCAGCAGCAGCAGGAACTGCACAACAGCGACACTCGCAGCGGGAACTGCAGC